GCCCGGGCTGGGGATTCGAACCCACCACCTTAGGTGTATGTGGCTGGCGCCTTAGCCGCTTGAGCCACAGGCGCCGAGCCTAAAAATCTTTTCAAAGAACTAATTAACTTTTGGTTTTATTCATTTTCTTCCTATTATCTGTTTCTTATTTTGTGGTCTCTACTAGTATCATTATTATTCTCTTTGTTCTACTTACTTTCAATTTAATTTACTCTTTTTACCAGTTTCTTCAGGTGGAAAATTTCTTCAGATTACTGATTTTAGGGGGTGAACATCAGTAATAGCTTAATATTAGGGTTAAAAACAGGCTTGTGCTGGGCTTGGTGCTTCAGCCCTGAAATCCCAGCCCTTGGGAAGGCTGAGGCAGGAGGATTGCTTGAGACTAGGAGTTGGAGACCAGCCTGGATAACAGAGACTCCATTTCTACAAAAAATTAAAAAAGTAAGCTAGGTGTGGTGGTCTGTGCATACAGGACTAACTCTTTCGGAAGCTGAGATAGGATGATTTCTTGAGCCCAGGAGTTGAACGTTGCAGTGAAATATGATTATGCCATTGCACTCCAGCCTGAGAGACAGGGCAAGACCCTGTCTCAAACTAAAAAAAAAAAAAGACCACCAAAGAACAACAAAACCCCAGGTTTATATTAGTTTTAATCAGAAAATTACTTATTTGTGGATGTAAAGGTCAAATATTGGCAACCTTATTTATATTTTTGGCCTCCACCCCTTTTTTTGAGATAGGGCCACCCTGCCCTGTTTCCTGGGCTAGAGTATAGCAGCTCATCACAAGTCACTGCAATGTCGGACTCCTGTGGTCAAGCTGTCCTCCTGTCTCAGCCTCCTGAGTAGCTGAGACTACAGGTATCACCACTTTTTTAGGGGCGGAGTCTCACCATATTACTCAGGCTGGTCTCAAATTCCTGACTTCAAGTGATCCTCCAATCACCCTCTGAAAGTTCTAGTGATACCGGAATTTCGCTCTTTAGGAGGTCCTTTGTCTTGGGGATTAGAGGAATGAACCCACAGGCCACTGATTAGCAGCAAGACAGGATTTTTATTAAAAGTTAGAAAGGAGGCTCGGCGCCTATAGCTCAACCGGCTAAGGCGCCAGCCACGTACACCTAAGGTGGCGGGTTCGAATCCCCAGCCTGGACCCGCCAAACAACAATGATGGCTGCAACCAAAAAATAGCCGGGCGTTGTGGCGGGCGCCTGTGGTCCCAGCTACTTGGGAGGCGGAGGCAGGAGACTCGCTTGAGCCCAGGAGTTGGAGGTTGCTGTGAGCTGTAATACCACGGCACTCTACCCAGGGGGACAGCTTGAGGCTCTGTCTCAAAAAAAAAAAAAAAAAAAAAAAGAGAGAGACGGCCCCCCCCTCTCCCCACCCGCGTGGGGGCGCCAGCCACGTACACCTAAGGTGGCGGGTTCGAATCCCCAGCCTGGACCCGCCAAACAACAATGATGGCTGCAACCAAAAAATGGCCAGGCGTTGTGGCGGGCGCCTGTGGTCCCAGCTACTTGGGAGGCGGAGGCAGGAGACTCGCTTGAGCCCAGGAGTTGGAGGTTGCTGTGAGCTGTAAAGTCACAGTACTCTATCTAGGGGGACAGCTTGAGGCTGTCTCAAAAAAAAAAAAAAGTTAGAAAGGAATACAGAAGAAGTAAGGCACGAGAGCTTCTGGTGGGGAAAAAGAACTAACTAACTGGGGGGTTTCTACATGGGCTCAAATGAGTAGGGCGCCAGCCACATACACTGAGGCTGGTGGGTTCGAGCTTGGCCCAGGCCTGCTAAACAACAACTGCAACCAAAAAATAGCTGGACGTTAGGGTAGGCACCTGTAGTCCTAGCTACTCAGGAGGCTGAGGCAAGAGAATTGCTTACGCCCAAGAGCTTGAGGTTGCTGTGAGCTGTGATACCATAGGACTCTACCAAAGGCGACATAGTGAGACTCTTGTCTCAAAAAAAAAAAAAAAGGAAATGCTTCTACAAGGTCTCTGTCTCCCTGGGTCTCACCTTCATGTCATAAGCCTCTCTCCTCAGTCTTTTTGTCTCGGCTTATTTGTAACATAGAGGGAATGAGTCTGAAAAACAGGTAGATATACACAGGGAGAGATGATGTCAGTGACCAGTACACAATATGGTAGGTTGTGGTGGATGTTTGGGTACTTAAAGGAAGAGTCATATCTTGATGTGCTTGCATTGCTAGAAATAATGATTTAATAAGCTTAAAACCAATGTTCAATTATTTATTATAAGTAGGTTAGAAGTTGAATTACGAAAATGATTGTAGATGATGGGCAAAAGGGAAGAGCGACAGGAGAGAAGTGGATCAGAGAAACCCAAAATCTGTTGAAAAACGTAACAGTCTGAAAGTCTGACTTTTAAGGCAGACTGTCATGCTGGAGCTCTGCCTGTCTCCCAGTGTGATTCCGCTCAAGGGTTACTGAGTGCTGAGAGGCAAGGCTCACCCAGGTGGGCTGCCCTCTCAGGGAGAGTGAGTGTTTTTGGGGAGTTAGGGAAAGCAGAACACACTGGAGAAGGATGAGCATCTAAACCACGTTAAGAGAGAAAAGTCTCTCAGGAAAGATAAGGAGAAAAATATCTCCTTTCTTCTGTCATCTCAGTATGGACACCAGCTCATCTGAGCACAAGGCTTCCCAAGGGTTAATTGCGAACTGTGATTTGTGTGCGTGGTCTAATTGGGGTCTGCTTTGACATCCTGCTCCTGGATGATTGTGTTCCCTGTCCCCTGCTCTGTTTGTGTTAAGATCATAAATAACTTATTAGAGTACTAATAATAAGAAGTAAACCAGTCTAATTAGGTAGTTAGTTAAAGAAATAATTTGGTTAGAAAATGCAAGCCCCGCAACATATGGGTTTAGCCTTCTTCCATTAGACTGATGATTAAAACAATGATATGTGTAATAAAAATGGAGCTAGCTCAGAGTGAGGGGCTGCTTTCCACCAGTCCTCACACTTGAAGGCGGTCAGCCAGCCAGACCCAGCTCTTTAAAAAAACTTTTTCTTTGTGTCTTGGCTTTTTCATTTTCTCTCATCCTCTCATCTCCTCCAGTTACTGGGAGAGAACTTACAGTATAGTTTGGGGCTGGTCCCCTACAGTAGTTCACACATAATATGACCATCAGAGAAACAAAGGCACCCTAACAATAAGGAACAGAAGCTACAACATATAGTTACAAACACAGACCCTGAAAGTAGCACAGGGATGCAGAACTGTGAGATGAGGCCAGAGGGTATGTTGGCAGATCACTGGCAACCACTGAGTTCATAATACCAGGGGGCTCTAGGGCCCTAGAAAGGGAAGACCCAATAAAATAATGTTTTATTAAGGCCACTACATGCTAGGTTTATCTTGGCACTGGGCCCCAGAAAAATCAGTTTGTTCTTGCCCCGAAGGGCCCATAGTTGGTGGGGAGACACCCATGTAAACATACTTGTATAAAGATAATGTGGGCTCGGCATCCATAGTTCAGTGGTTAGGGCGCCAGCCACATACACCTGCAGGCAGGTTCAAACCCGGCCTGGGCATGCTAAACAACAATAACAACTGCAACAAAAAATAGCCGGATGGTGTGGTGGGTGCATGTAGTCCTAGCTACTCGGGAGGCTGAGGCAAGAGAATCACTTAAGCCCAAGAGTTTGAGGCTGCTGTGAGCTATGATGTCACAGGACTCTACTGAGGGCAACATAGTGAGACT